CCCGGCCCCGCCCTGCCGCCATAACTACTTTTGAGGGTTAACATCCAACTACTTTCCAGATCCAATTAATATGGCATTTTTGAAGTTTGAAGGTTTAGTTTCTTCAAAAACCTTTTTGCTGGAAGGGGTATTTTGGAAGAGATTCTTTGAAGCTAGAATGATTTTTTAAGAATTCGATAAAGTTGTTCTATATTTTCTAAAAATATAAGAATATCATCAATGTGAAAACAATGATGAAGTTTGATAAATGATTGACAATCTCATTCATAATTTTTTGAAATTCAGAAATCAGAAGGAACATTTTTGAGATCGAATGGTATAACATTCCATTTGTATTGTTCGAAAGGAATGTTGAAGGCAGCTTTGTATGTGTCTTCTTCTTTAATTTGAATTTGCCAGAAACCAGAATTCATATCAAATTTTGAAAAGATAACAACTTTGAATAATCCGTTTAACAGATCTTTCTTTTGAGGTAATTGATATCTGATCCATTGAAAATTGTATTGAGAGGCTTATAATTAATAACAAAACGTAGGGGGCCTCGTTCAATTCAACAGAATTATTGACATAAAGAGTTGAACAACGATCAAGTAAATCTTTAATTTCCATTCTTTGTTCATTTGAATGAGACAAGATTAATAAAAATGCTTGACTCATGGAAATCAGAATTATAAGGAAGAAGAATAATATATTTCTTTCTATTCCAAAAAGCATTAGGAATAGTAGAACATATTTCTTTTTTAATTTATATATGAAAATTTGAAATCTTTTCCTTTATTATGTTTTCCCTCCAATCATTTTTTTTTTTTTTTACAACTAGTTAGATATCCATTATATACACTTTGAATTGTACAAATGACATTTCCCTCATCTATATAATTTATGTTGTTATATAATCTAATTATTATCGCTAGACAATTTTCCATCATAAAAATGGGATAGTAGTTATGGAAAACATGGTATATAATTTTTCTGTTGTAAACTTACTTTTAGTATAGTTAATTACAGCAGCAATGAAAGGAAGTACAATCTCACATTGAAACGAACCTCTATAAAGTAAGTTTTTTTTATATGTTTATTTTTTTTCAGCAATTTTATTGCTTTTTGTGATATAGAATTAGAACTTATACTCAATAAGGTTGAAATTTCTTTTTGTACAATAAATTTTGTCAATCCCAACTTGAGTATGGAGATAAATTAATAATTTTGATTAACTGTAAAACAATACCCTCGCTAATATTTTCTTCCAAGAATAAGATCTAGCTCCCTTTGACCCTATTTTTTAAATTTTATTTTTTCTCAAACTTAATTTCAACCACGTATTCCATAATACCCACAACTTCTATCAACTTTTCAACCACACCTTATCAAGTTCTATCAAAATCTATTTTTTTAGTTAAACCAAACAAAGACTAATTTATTTTCTAAATTACTTAGCTAAATATTACATACAAGACACTGATTTTTTCCTTTTCCTTTTTTTCCCCTTTTATTGGCAATATGTACCAAACTTGGGCTTTTTTCTTTTCTTTTCTTTTCTTTTCCCTTTTTTTTTTTTCCCTTTTTTAATATTAAAATCTAATTTTATCTATATCGCTGTTACCATAGTTCAAGTCCTGATTGATGCACAAAGAATGATTTCATAAGGGATGCCGGGCATGGACTACACCCAAAGTTTAATTTGGTTTCAAAAGGGTCAATATAACTTCTATGACAATTCAAGATTTCTTGGTAAGTTGCAAATCTCGTCGTCCGCAAGATCTCAGCAGCGCTGTAGGCTCTCAGTTGGAACAAGCGATGACCAGAAGAATATGTTCCTTCACCTTAACAAACAGACGAGATCATGCATCTTCAAGTGAGTACATGCACAACAATAATACGAAATGACAAGATAGTCAACCCGACGGACCCACAAGTAATACCCACTCATTAATCACACATTTTTATCCATTTATAATATAAATCATTTATAAATACTTCCCAAACATGCTTTTAATCAAAACTAATGAGACATCGTAACACAGCATGAAACGACATAATTTACAGAAATAGGTTAACGAACAGAAAAATCTACTAGAAGCTGGCAAAAGGCAGGGCAGCATATAAAAACTAGAAAGACATTAAAAGAGTGTGTGTTCAACTGAACAGGACATACATTTTCATACAAGTTTTCAGTTTAACGAAATCAAAATCTCTCAACTATTTAATTTATCACGTGATTATCAGATCTGCACAAGGCCTTCATTTACAGCTTCATGTGAACAGAAATCAGCAAATTCAAACATGTTCAAATCGTATAATCCATCAAAGGCAATTTTGACAGTGGCCAACCTTGGTAGTATCCCAAATTTTACCCCTGTAACTTCATATGATATTTTCATGAGTTTCAAAGTTCACATCTCAAAACTCGTCCAAACAGCAGCATATAAGAAATGTTTCTTAAGTTGGACTAAGTTGTGCTGAACAGTGTTAAAAGAGGCAAGTGATATAAAAAATTACATGACATGAAGAAACTAAGGCCAGAACATGAATGCAGGATTAGTTTGGTATTACAATGAAACACAACCCCCAGGTCCAGAACTACATAGCATGTCCTACAATTTCTTCAAATACTCTCATTTACATCCCTGAAAATTAACAAAATCATTAAATGTGCACTCACTAGGCTTCAACATTAACAACATTTTAATAGAAGCAACTGCTCTATACATTTTAAAGCATTGAATAATCAAGGTTGAGCCTAGTTATAGGGCATGTGATGGAGATCATAACAAGAATAAAGATGGACATATATTTTATTAGAATTTGATAATAAGAGTTTGATATAAAGTATATTTCAATTAGATTAGTTTTGATATTTTGATATAATTATAGTTTATTAGAAGTTTTTTTTTTCTTCTTTCAGTTTCTTGCTCTATAAATAGAGGGGCTTATTCAGTGTAATAGACAACCAGAATATATGAATAAACATTAATTTTCTTCCCAATTTCTCTCTTCCTTTCCCCCTCTTCTTCCCAATTTCTCTCTCCTTTCCCTTTCCCCTTCTCCTATAATTATCTTATTGTATCCTGCATCAGTGTGCAATCCATGCTTATCTTTCCTTTAACTTTAATAGAAGATTGCTTTGCTTGTTGGATAACAAACAATATATTAAAGTTGACGGGACATATTTTTCACCCTTCAAAACCAAATTGATGCATGGAGAAACTGACGAGTAAAAACTAGAAATGAAAAGAATGCATAGAACATATTCTATTGGGCTTGAATATCAAATTTTGAGCAAAAAATACAAAAGTCGGATTGCAGTAACTGAGATGAAAATCACGCAATAATTGCCTAGGTTGCCAAAAAGAAGAAAAACTAAGCACAAGCTTACTTCTCTCCTAACAAATCAGTTGAACCGGTAGATGTACATTTAAACAGCATATTTTGTCAATGTTGAGATAGGGCTGGTTTCTTTTCCACCATATCATAGTGGAGAACAAAATTATCCTGCATTAATTTAAACCAAACCATGTTGGAATCAAAAAGGAAAACAGCAACCTCAGGTTTGTATTCAATAAAAAAGCAGACAAATGAAAAAGGCAATGAAATTTCAAACCTTGCGGACTGTCTCCCATGCATTTGGATCAAAACAAATATAGGAACCTCTCTCATATGCATTCATCTTTACAATTGGCTCCATGTTAGCATTCCTCATAAACCACAAACGATGCTCTCTATGGTAAAACCAACCTCTATTATACCTGAAAATAATTGGGACAGCTCTGTCAAATTACTACTCTATGCAGCCAAGTTAGTATCAACCTATGGAATGGAATATAATGGGGGAGCTAGTGTAGAAAGATTTCAGTGAAAGACATGGATTTCCCAGGGACAGAATTCTGAATTACAGAAAAAATAAACAGGTGAACGAGAAATGAAACAAATATTCATGTCTAAGACGGCATACAATTCATTCGCAGCATATAATTGGGCTTCATCCTTTGGCATACTGCATGAAACCACAGAGAAAAAGATAATCTCATATTTACAGTCAGAGGTCAAAGGCAATATAAATGGAGTGTGATCTAAAGATTTACCTGTAGAAGATATAAAACAAAGTTTCTAACTGAAACTTTAAGAAGCAAGCTTGCTGCAGCCAATCCAAGAAAATTCAGCAAGAAAAAAATGGCAGAAAAGCAGCAGTATAGTTAAGGGTAGAAAAAAGCTCACATTTAGAGGCGGCGGTTGTTTAGCATAATAACATTGTGGCACGGTAAACTCTGGATCTCCTTTAGTAGGCTCATCAGACCATGGGGAACCAAATGTTTTGTGAAGATTTTCAGAAGAATTCAAGTTCAATCCAAGGGTAGTTAGGTCAATTCCAAGAGCAAGAGAAGTCAGATCAGGGTCACTCATTCTTATCACACTCAACAAACCAAGCAAACCAAAAGGGTCAGAAGTGCTTTGTCCACCCTGCATGGGCTTCACTGCTTGATCCCTATAAGGCTGACCAACGGCAGACATTTGCTGCAGGCGAAATTGGGACTGGTTCTGATGCTGCTGATATTGCTGTATAAGCTGGTCGTACGACCCGATACCAGAAACCGAATTCGGAGAACTCAGGGGTCGTAGTCCCATGCCTGGGGGCCCACTGGTCTGGTCAAATAAATAGAAACAAATAAAATTATTAAGCTATTACAAGGAAAGAAGTGTCGTGAAGCAACTTTTACTCCAAGTAACTCGTTTAAACCATCATTCACATTCACATCTACAAGCTACATCAGATCCTCTTACAACTAATAGTTATATATAGATAATCTAAAATAACTAATACAATTTATAGGAACTCCGTTCCCCGCCCCCAAACTCAATATTCTCGTGCCCATTTATGAAATGTTTTCAAAAAGGTGGTCCCACCTACGGAAACATTTCTTGCAGACTTAATTGTAGGAGAGAATTTTCACATAAAACACACCCCTCATAAGTTTACATCTTTTTCACCAGGAGGCAAATGTTCCACCTACTCACTCACGTAACCATCATTTATATTTACATATAAACTACGGTAGATCCTCTTATAATCATCATTTATATATTAACAGTAAGAGCTTGTTTGATCCCTAGTTTTTAAAAAATACATTTTCTCTATTTTCATTTCAACCACACATTCTTCAATAAAATGATATTACACGTAAACCCAAAACTTTTCCTTATTTTTTAACCACACATTCTCCATCAATCTGTATTCAAAAATGCATTCTTAGCATTTTAATGGAGCTCAAAGAAGTTCTAAATCATTTTCCCCAAAAATTAAAAATCCTTTGTACTCGATCAGTTCTCATATGGTATCAATATAGGAGGTATTTTCACACGCACTCAGGGACACAACTTTTAATGTCACCCTACAACAGTACAACTTATTTGATGATTTTCCATAGATTTACGAGTAGCTCATAAAATAATAAAATATTGTTACGAAGATTGCTTGGTTATCAACTATGGCTATAATAAAAGAGCAGTTGGTGGCATCACTTGCACTTTTTTCTATGTTAGATGAAGACGCGGAAGAAAGTACAATTTTCTTGTTCACTTCCAAAATTTCCAAGGAAAGTTGAGATGGAAACAAGCTCAAGAAAGGGCAGACCTCTCCAATTCAGAAGGATATTAGGCGTTGAGTTGCAGGAATGTCAAGTTTTGATGGCAGAAGACAAGTTGCTCCTTTTACTATTTTAGTAAATTACGACGACAATATCGGTCAAAGTATGTATTAATTGCAAATAAAACTATGTTATACTTCAATTGATCGTACATGCGCTTCTGTACAGCATGGGAACATAATCAATCAAAAAACTGGAATTTACAGTTAATACATCTAATGATTAAAAAAATTTCTATGCTGTTTTTGTTTATAATAAGGTGTTGACCGTAACTCTATTATAGAGTTCAATATTACAAAATAATAAGAACGATACGCATGCTTTACGTTAAAAATTATATCCACATGCTGCAAAAGCAATGCACTAGTACTCGAAACGTAACATTAAAGCTAGCAGTTAAACCTCTTTAAGGTATTAGTCAGACAGGCCAAGGTGGCAGATATTACAAAGCAGACAAAGGATATTGCCTGGTTCAGAAGAGTATTTCCCATCACTTCAGAGTAAGAGAAAAAAAGGCACAGGCAGAGAAAGAACAGATGTGTTAAACCAAAAAAAGCAAAAAGAAAAAGTTGATATTGAATAGTTATTTGTGATTTACCTATTTGCTTGAAAATAAATAATAAAACACAACTAAAAATAATAAATAATTCCACAAAGCATGTTAGCACACCTGTGCATGATATGTTGAATGAGATGAGGGAAACATGTCTGAACCGTGCAAATGAAGTAGATCATGGTTGTTTACAGTAGAGAAAGGGGCAATGCCGCTACTCACTGATGGGGCATGTTGTTGTTGCTGTTGTGGCCGATGAGATGAGTATGTTCCCCCCAAATTGAAACCAGTAGACCTTCCCATCTGTAAATTCAATCAGAAAATGAGAACAGAGAGAAAAACCTAGTTGCATCCAAACCCAACAAAAAATACTCTATAAATGCTTCAAACCCTCATCATGGATCAGTATCACTTACAGAAAAGTGTTGAGGCTGCATCATGGAAACAGAACTGTCGTGAAGTTGCTCCTTTTGGTGCAAGTCCATAGAATAGTCACCATTCCCACCTGCACAAAGTATAATAGATCATCAATGACGAGTTAAACTAAAACTAAATAAAATGTGAATTCAAAAATATATTTACATTGCCAGAGAGAGGTGTTTTAGGGCCGACTATTATCAATGAGACGAAGGAAAAAGAAGGGCAACAAGTTCCATTGAGCCCTTTAGAACCTAACACTAATTTAAAAAAAGAAATAAAATAAATACACTTAATGACATAGGACATAACAAGAAAAGGAAATTAAGGGAAAGAGTAGAAGAAACGAGAGAAGGAAAATATATAACTTTGCTTCCAAAAATATTAAAGTTGTGCTCAAAATGAAAAACCTAAGTCATAGTCTTTAATTCCAAGAGAACTTCTTACTGATAACAATGAATAAAATGAAACACTTATCTGAATAAAGCAAAATAAAATCTTATCTGATAAAATCTAATCTAAACAGAAAGTTTTATCTTTTCTACTTGTTTTGCCTGGCGCGGAATTCAGTTGTTTCCCATCACTTAACTTCACAGAATCTAACAGTACAATTTTCACAATTTTTAAACAATCAAATTCAAGTTGCCATAAAATAATTCGTTGATTCATGCACAAGTAAGAAAAAGCAATAAAAAAATTAGAGACTCACACAAATCACAATCATATTATTATTTTATCAATATCAAAAGCCACCCAAGTTTTATTTGCCCGCAGCTGTTCTAATAAGGAACCAAAAACCCTATTGCTAGTTTGATAGAAATTACTCACTTGGTCCCTCAACTACTAACAAAGCATAATTAGACCCCAATCACACAAAACACGATTTAGACTCTAATTAAATAAATACACTATAAAAATTCAAGCCCGTGCCTTTTTAAGTCTTGTACTGCATCACATAACACTTCTCAAGATTAGATGTTTCACAAAAAATAATAACCTAAAATGTGGACCAGCAGAAATAGACCTAATAAAGGATTTAGGACGCGAAAACAATACAAGCATGCACATGAACATGATAAGCTCCTACACAGGTGGCTGGTTTCTGCAGATAACAATTCACAGCAAGACAGAGACCAAACACTAGTAGATGTAGATGAGGACTTATATTCTGTGATTGAAGGACTGTAACACAGTAAAATATATAGATTGCAGTGAACAGAGTGCCTTTTGCTATTAAAGGAATTCAACAGGAATGAAATGAAATAAAACAAATGGGTATTTGGCTTTCGAGAGGCCAATACTCTCCTATAAGTTCCCACTAATTTTCTGCATGCCTTCTCTCTTCCCTCTGGCTCCGTTTTATAGCCCTGGCTCCATAACAACCTTGTTAACGGCTTTAGGGGCCCCCATGTGCTGGTTGAGTACCTCTGAGTTGTTATACATTTTTTCCCTTATGGGTTTCTTGCGTCTGCTATATGTTAACTGAATAGGTGGCTTAGAACACTAACATCACAGCTGATAAAGTCTATGCTATTTTTTCCTTTTGATAGGAAACAAAAGAATTATTAATATAAAATTTAGGATCAACAAGAAGAAATGAGAGGATAAAGGTCTTCCGGAGAGAATAAACCTAAGAGCATGAATGGGTATGGTAAAAAGGAAATCAAAATCGCCCTCTTTTAGCAGCATCACCTTACATGCTGTCAAAAAAAGGTGCTTTTGAACCCCTTTTAAGCACTCCTAAACATGCTCTAAATCAAAAGTTCCAATTGAGAATTACCAGATAAAATGAAAATCCTTATATTCATTACCTGTAAATTCCCCAAGAGAAGCTAAAAGTCTAGCCTTCTCCTATATAGACAAAGAATCGAACACTTTCCTTAAATATTTTCTAATTATTCCAGCCAAATAATGTAAAACACTTGTAACGCCATAGAGGCAGTTTTTCGAGCATCAGATAACCACTACTCCGAGAAATCTTCAAGCTTATACATTCTTGGATGGTCTATCGATCATGTTGCCGACTCTTGTTAACAGCTATGAAATACCAGCTCAGACAATTGCGTGTAAACATACATCCCAGGTGTCTGACATCTTGCTTTAAACACGAGTTATGAAATGTCAAATACCTAGATGTTTTGACGTCTTCTCAATGCACAGTTTCAAAAGTCTAAACTATGTTCAGATTGGAAAAAAGAATAATAGAACCTATCTATGATAAGATTACTAAACTGAGCGCAATCAGTATAAGAATAAATGTACTCAAAGAAAACTAACCATAGTTATCACCATATCTAGGAAACAGTTGCATACAGGAGTAAATTATCAGCAGATGCTCATTCTGTTATTTATACAAGATGATTCCAGGATTTACCTTGGCACATTCCAATAGTCATTTTGTTCTCTAACTACTAATTTGATTACTCATTTTGAAAGCAACAGTGTCAACAGATTATGACAAAAAGACTTCATCATAAATAGCATAAAGCATGTATGCTTTGACGTTCAAACACATGCAAGCACCTTTAAATCCAGGTAAGGCCGGAAAATCTTCATTTTGAATACTGAATTCTTGATTTTGCTGAACGATTGGGCTAAGACCTTGTTTCCGCAATGAACCTGAAATACTAGGGATAATAGTCAGCCTGAAACCAGACAAATGAGAACTTGCAAGATTTTTATTTTTTATTTATTTATTTTTGGTGGGGTGGGGGGGGGGGGAGCACCAATCTATTCAGTTACCTAATTGTCCCTGAGGACCTCCAGCAGAACTGGGACGACTGCTCAGTTGAGGGAAATCATTGATGTCAAAAGGAGAACCACCATCATTGGCATTCATATCACTGAACATCCCCATATTAAGGTTATTCACTGCTTGTACATGATTTTGTGACAGAGGACCACCGGCTGAAGGGTAGGAATTGCCTAACATAGACATTACCTGTGGAGAAGCTGAAGGCAGGAACAGTCATTTAGTCCTCATTGCTTATATCTACATATATATATGCATCATTCATCTTGGCCTCAGATACAAGTTCAATACCACCAAACTGTAATAACACTGAAGAATGAAAGAAATCTTCACTGAAACGTAGCAAATCAATACTATGTAGGTAACAAATACCAATATAAAAATTTCTGACCAAGTTACAATGTAAATGAAAACGTAACATGATAAAATCTAGTCCCCAAAGGGTAGAAATTTTTGAAATCCTATTTGTAGTTCGATTGCCTCGAATATCACCTTTTTCTTCAAAGTGAACAACGAAAGCAATGAAATCGCCTTTCCTATTCTTTCCCCAGATCCCACCTAAGCAGAGACTCAACTCAAACAGGCCCACAAGTGATTTATCGGAAAAGAACAGGAAACCATTAGACAAACATTAACTAGCTTTTTTTCTGTTTTGTTTTGTAAATAATTCTCAAATTAATTTTTTTTTAAAAATCAACAACAAACAACATTGGGCCAACTTGGATCTAGCCCAACACAAAACACGGAAATGATTAATTTAGTTTTTGGGTTAATTGGCCCACAGCCCCACTCCACAATATTTTCATCCACAAAAACCACAGTGGAATGTTCAGTTCAGATATTGAAGTGATTATTATATATCACAAAAACCACTTGTCAGCTTTGAACTTGAAAAAGTGCAGCTTCTTTGTGCAAATTTAAGAAATTATTAGAATCCATTACCAAAAGAAAATTCAACGCAATCACGTAACATGGTGCTTGCAGAATAACAGATGCTCAAAATTACTATGGCTCAACAGAAACACTTTACTGTAAAGGCCAAATATTTTCAATCACATTCAAGCAAACATCTAAAAGACAAGTATCAAACTAAACCATAGATGTACAAGAATAAGGCAAAAAAGGGTGATTAGTGAGCAATATCAATTGGGATTTGGGATACGCCATTTACAGAAGTATACTAAATGGAATTCATAAAGATATCATTTGAAGACTTACCAAGAAATAAAAATGGACAGAGATATACTTGTATTCAATAATCAAGTCAAATTATAACAAAGCATTAATCCTGATTATATCATGTTTACAAGTCTAATTTAAGAAACCAACTACAGATATAAAATAAAATAAAATTTTCAAAATAAAATAATTTCAAATCTTGGCAAGGCTTCAAATAATATCTCCATGAATCTTCATCATATACAAATGGCAACATCAGATACAAAGCTGGATGACCATTGTCTAAATAAAGATAATAACCATGAGTCGAACATTGGGTACAATTTTGAAGATAATTATTAAATCACAAAACACACTTATCAAATTTTTTTTTTGTCTTGAAAATTGCAGCTCTGATATGAAAATAAAAGAGATTTTTTAAAGCCCTTTCAACAAAATCACAAGTGGAAAAGGTGTATGTACTGCTGATAGATTCTCAAGTACTCAAACATGTTCTACACAAATGCACATACACCTAGGCGTTTCAGTTCTATCCATGACATAACAAACTGTGAGGTGACAAAACAAATTATCTTTTCAATATCTAGCCGAAATAGAAGAAACGAAATGTCACCATATACATATTTCAACATTGTTAATCCACTGCAAATACATATCCAAATAGCATCCAATTTTTGTTGCAGCTCTGAGTGCATGCCTCAAGAAGGGTTTGTCGGTTGACAATGCATAAAGTTTAGTCAAGAGTGGCTACGAACGAGAGTGATATGATTTAATTATTCAAATTAATGAATCTAGTTGATTAGGGTACTTACTACTATGGCCTTGCAAACTCATTATTTGTTGGCCTGGTCAGGGTTTAAAACTGTAAAAAATTAAAATCTAAAAAAGGGGACAAATTCAGTTCCAAAGTTGGGTACTTCGGGGCTGGATCGATTCTCAGTTCCAATTCAGGAGGCTCGGTTCCGGTTAAATGCCAACCCAGAAATGCATATCTATACAGTAGAAAAGTACATTCATTTAATTTATTTTTTGGCTGGTCAACAGCTAATATACAGGTGGTACATGTTCAACCAGGTGTGTATTTTAGAGCCTTAATTAAATACATCTGATTTAACGACAAATATTATGTTATTTCCACCTTGGAAGGCTAGGGGAAAAACACCTGTCCAAATGACACTATGCAAATGCTGTAGAAAAACCAAAAGCCAGGGAACTGGAGAGAACTATATTTATTTCATGATGATTTACCTTGTTGAAGCACACTGCCCACAAGCCTGTTTTGTCCTTGCAAATTCATATTTCCAGAACTACTGTTGGCAGTTAAGTTTAGCCGAGAAGATAGACCAGGCATGGACAATCCTCCACCAGAACTAATGCTTCTGCCGATGTTTCCGCCGCCTACTATGTTCCCCACAGAGCTTGTAATCCGTGGACCAGCATTCCCCATAATCGGAGAGACGCCTAAACCTGGTACTGCTGTCCGATTACCAATGGCAGAAGATGTTGCAAGAATCCCAGGGATGGAACCAGCAACACCATTTGTGCTACCACTATACCCTTGGTTTCCGATGACACTCATACCCGCTCTATTCACCATCCCTGAATGACCATGTGTATTGCCATGAGATATCTGCAAACGAGGAACAATATATTGTCGGGAGATTTAAAAAATAAAAAAAATAATAATAATAAAATAAAAAAACTAGTAAACGAAGGATGCAAATATTAGATGAACAAACCATATAATTTTACAATATTAAGAAAATTAGCGAGCTGCTATAACTGTTTCCATAATACATATTTTCAATATTCTCAATTCACATCAAGGAATCTCAATTGCACCATTAAAAGGACAAAGGGGGCACCTGAGAAAGAGCACCTGGAAGATTATTTGATGCAAATCTTCCACTGGAAAGGTTACCTGCAGCTTGTTGCAGCCCATTAGAAGGGACATTATTCATTATTGTATTTCGAGATCCAAGTGAGCCTGACATGTTAGGGACATTAAAACTCCCGTGAACATTATGCAGTCCCTGAATATTTCCTGCAAGAACAAAGCTCAACAATATATAGATTTTGAAGAAAACATTAAGCAATAATTGCAGCAAACAACTCACCAGTATGATGAAAAACAGGAGAGGCAGCCCCAGATTGACCAGAGAATGATGAAGTTAATGGGCGCCCAGTGCCATCAGGAAGATTTGATGTCGATCCATTGAGTGATGACTGCAGCCAGAGTGTAGATGAATTACGTAAACAAAAATACATACTCCTGTAAGTTTCATGTATGACCCTCAACTCAGACTCATATCATGATAAATTTTTTCATGATCCATGCACTACTGGAACATATCTGTTTCTATGATCAAACAAAAAGTTGAGTAAGCAGCAAACTCTATATGTCAAAAATTAGTTATAAATCCTCAAATATCATTTTATAGCATTAGTACTGAACTCTTCAGACAGACAGAGAGGGAGGGAGGGAGAGAGCATATTGTGTTAGCAAATACAACCACTCAATGCAATGAGCAACTCCATTTGATTATATAGAATTTAAGCTAATCATAAGATAACAAGCTTAAAAGTATAACATATCTGAACTTGCTAGATCTGTTGTCACCTCCAATTAAACTAAATTAGATGAATCAATACCAATCTCATTATCAAAATTATCTTATCATACCACATTGCCAGCAAAATCCAAGACTCCGTATTACTCAAACTCAAAATTTTCTGTCCTTTTCAGAAGACAATTGGAGGAATTTCATCAACCCATCATGCAAATCATGATAATTTACAAATTCAAGAACTGAAGCACATAGTAAGTAGTTAAATGCCATTAATCAGTACATCAACTTCCCTTTTGCAAAAATTATAAAAGACTCCAAGGTTTTACACGAGGTAAAATGTTTCTTATCCCAATCTGTTTGATGTCAAGGACAGCATGCAACACAAGTATACAGACCTTTGCAGGAATAAGTTAGCAAGATCTGAACATTTTGCAATTATTTTTCAATGATATTATGCCCATGTTTGAGCCCCATTCTTCCTTCAACTCATTTTCAACTACACATTCTTCCAATAAAATAATTTTGCACATAAATCCAAATCATTTTCCTTGCTTTTTAAGCAAATATTCTCCTCCAGAATCACTATTACAAAATTCATTTTTACCTAAAAATGGGGCTCAAACATAGCCTATATTTTGACATCCTTTCTGTGCTTTTCGTATTTGGTTCTCTCCAAATAACCAGATTAACAAGTTTGAAGCCATAACCTAGGAATTAGTTAAAACAGATTCTAATCATTATTTGGCACTAATATCCTTGTAAATGACATGAACACGGCATTGTAAAAATCAAGATGTTGACCCAAAAAAATCATGATTATATCATATAAGCAACAATAAAATACATTTATATGGATGCCATAGTCAATCATATTAATGAAATCATGGTAAAGGAAAACCGGAAGAGCATATTTAATCCAAATGTTAAACTGCAGATAAAAACAATGGCGCTTCAAAGAAAAGGACCAAAAGAATGTAGAAACCACAAGATTGTCATCCAATATCAATATATACACGTGAAGCATTGTGCATTAAAGGGAATAGTACATTAAATAACCCCGACATTGCAGAAAATGTCAAAAGGTCATGCAGAAAATTTTCCTTCACCCAATAGCAGCTTCCCTTCTCCTTTTTGTCAGAAAGCTTTTCCAGAAAGTGCTCTGGCGCCTTTACTTTCTAATCCTCAATTCTCCGAAAGCAGATTTGATGAGAACAGTCAGTTATATTATTAAATGCTGCAACAGTATTTAGCAACAAAGAACAAAATTCGAAAAGCTAATTAGTAAGTCACAAACTGAAGAAAAAACAATTGATCAGAAGCAAATCCAAAGGCATGATATAAACAGGAAACTCGTGAGTGAAGCAGAAAATAGATTGACAGCAAACATAGGTCCAATAAATTTAAACTTCAATACAGCTAAAAAATATAGAACAAATACCATAGGGAGCAGACATAAACACCTAACTGCATTAATCCAAAAGAACAAAGAATCAGATGCATCTAATAAACAATTCATTATATCCATATAAGATCCTTAGCAGCAGCAGCAAAAAGAAAATTGATTTGACCAATATCAATCCATTGGTATCAATTAGAAAGAAAATATCTGCCTCGCCAAAAAGTTCCAAGACTTCTTGGTCAACACCAAGCCATCGATTGAAAGCATTAACTGACGAGTCAATGCTGCAAACAGCTACTTTACATAGAGAACAAGAAAACAAAATGTTGAGATCTGTTTTCTGTGTATTTACCAACAATTATTTGCTCTGCAACATATTTCAACGTCTAACCCAGCATCCACAAACAAATACAATTTTAGCAAGGTTTTTGCGTCTTCATTGTTTTCCATCTTATAATAACAAAAAATGGAAAAAACCAAAATCATCAATACTTTCGTGTTTTTAGTCAACAAACTCTTAAACTTTTCAAGAACACATTTCAAGGCATCTGCACAGGAGAGCTATAAGGTCCTCCACTTTTAATCATAAATAAGAAGAAAACCTCTGATAGATTGGCTCTAAGCTGAAACTAAACAACCCAATCATGTTACAACCATCAAAACAAATTAGGGTGATGCTCTGGTTCTAAATATCATAAAAGGAGGAAAATAGAAAGGATAACGTTATTCATCGGCAGTCCATGTGGCATTATTCATAGTTTTGATATAAAAAAAGAATCAAATGGCCCCTTTTAATTTGTAAACCAATTACATGCAACCACATGGACAGCCTATGATCATGAGTGCCTATGAATAGCATTGCTAAAAAAGAAACCAAAATATTTAAAACGAAAAGTGAAATACCTCAAATTTTCTCACCCACAAAAAAATCAAAACTTATATCTAGTCGAGTTAACAAAAAGAAAAGGTGGAACAAAATTTGTGAATCAATTATAGACTTCACCAAAGGTAATGCAAGTACACTTACGCCTCATTTGTTTTCCTTAGGAACCAAACATGTAGTTTTCACAGCTTAAACTTAGGACCCAAACAAAATCAATAACTTAGTCAAACAAAAAAGAAAACACAATCTTCAGTTCTTGCAAAGTCAATATCTCGAAAAGTATATACCCTCGTATAAACAGAAAATGGGAGCATATAGGCTCAGGTTGAGCCCCATTTTTTGGAAAAATAAATTTTGTAATAGTTTTTTTTTTTTTTTTTTTTTTTTTGGGGGGGGGGGGGGGGGGGAGAATATGTGGTTTAAAAAATAGGGAATTTTTTTAGGTTTACGTGCAAAATTATTCAATTGGGAGAATGTGTGGTTGAAAATGAGTTTTTAGAGAATGAGGCTCAAACAGGGGCATGATAAACAGTTGTTGCCTACTGCTCCTGTCCTACCTCTACCCCACCCCTTATTCTGTCCACACTGGCTTTCCCTTCTTCTCTACCTCATCCGGGAACCTGGGCTCTTTCAATATCTCTGTAAAATTGTCACCACCTCCATAAACCTAACCTAGTTTTGCATTTTGTTTCTCCTCTCCTCTCATCAGCAACTTTAAAATTCCTCTTCCGATTCTATGTACTAAATCCCAATTTCTATGAGGCCACTGAAGTGAACTGTAATTGCAGTTAATGATTTGAAGACTGCAGAAAGCATTTGAGAGGATTTCAGTGGAAATGACAATAAACTTCAAGATGTGTACTCTTTTAAGTTACAAAACAAGAAAGGAGAAAATTTGTGCTTTTTACGAAGAGTACTCTATTTGTTGTCTGCGCAGGTGTTTTCAATTTAGGTTTATATTATTAAATGTACAACTGCATTGAGGCACCCAAAAGCAAGCTGCACGTTTCCTTGTAGCAAAATGCATATTACATATGAAATAGAATATCCATAGGCATAAAGTAAAATTCAAAAACTGCACGAAAATAATTTCAGTACAAATTTTTAGTTCTATTTCAAGAAAACTGAAATACACAAGATCGAAATCAAAATACAATTCAATATCAAATTCAAAGATGGTATTGAGCACAACTGCATAAGAACTTAATAAGGGGATTTTAAATGCTTTGTGCTTTTGTTTTACTTCACTAAAGACCGTGCTAATTGACACCAAAAGAACGCCAAAGGGACTCAAGGCAAAGAGATTCACGTCTATTTTTGTGTCTTTGATAACTTATATTTGGGAGTTTTAAATTGGAGGCAGAGAAGAAAGCATAAAAATCATCTTTCTTCAGTGAAGGGGAGCAGGCAACAAAAATCAAGAGGAATTGTACTCGAGAGAAAATGTTATCCAAATTATTTGCATATCATTTTCAAAAGGTCCCCACGCGGATGAACAGCGATACTTGTTCAAAGTCTGAAGTTTAATTATCTCGCAACAGTGTTATTTTGGGGTTTTCCGGAACTGGATCATGATGGAAAATGATTGGACAGTGCTGAGGTATATTTCAACTGAAAATATGAAAAAGTTTCCTGTCAAATTATAACAAAAATGATGAAGATATTGACGGTTCAATCTATAGAGAAAACAACCAACATTGATTAGGCACTACAACTAAGGGCCCCTTTGGCAAGACTTCTGGTTTTTGTAGAAGAGTTTCATTTATTAAAGTCACTCTGGGCAACTTCTTCTAAAGATGAAGCACTTCTAGCCTTCTAAAAATTTATTCAAATCAAACATGTCATATTCTTTATTTCTTTATTTTGAATTACCAATAGAGAATTTTCCTAACTAAAAAAATCTCTCTGTCAAAAAAGCATTTCGTCTAAGGGATAAAAAAAAAATCAGGGAAGAATGCATCTTCCAGCACCCTATTTGTATCAGCAAGAAGAAAACTACCAGGAAAATAGAACAGGATATCTGGACCAGACTGAACTACCATGCAATTATAGAATTAATAGCTGTACGAAAAGTCTCCTCGACTCATTAGGTCATTGCATTGTGTTCTCACACTTCAGCAACTACGAATAAACTGACAGAAGGAGGCAATAAAATTATCCCCGACATCCCCACCCACTCAACAACACGAATAACTATCAATTAAATACTGAAAAACAGATTTGAGTACAGAAATGGGATTTAACAATTAAAAACACTTAAGCTACAATCCACACGTGCTATCTTGTATCAATTCAAAATAACCCCCAACTCATCCATTTACTCCCCCAACCCTCGAAACTCCCACCTTCAAAATATCAAAAATAATCCGTCAATTCATTGAACCCCAAATAATAATTTTCAGCAAACTCATACCCTAAATATTTTGTCATCAGCGTGCCATTAAAAAAATTAATTACCATTAAGAAAGCAAGGGTAAGAGGCAACAGATCTGTGTGAAGAGAGAAGTCTAGCACTGATCGGTCGATTTTGATTGCGATGAGCCTTTGGAGCGAGAAAGTGGAGAACTTCGATGAAAAAAGAGGCTGTCTACCATAAGCCCACAAAATGGCATGTTTGGCATTTAGTTTATAAGTACTTTTAAGTAACATTTCATTTTCACTATTTTTATTTTTATTTTTTTTTTAATTTTTTTTTTACAGAAACTTAAGGTTATGTAAAACTATAGCATCTACTACCCTTCGAGTGCGTACTGCATAAACCCTCGGGTTTGTACAATAGCCTGCAAACCATGTCAACCAGATAAATTGCATTAAGCAAGCCCTATGCGACAGGTTCGATCGAAACTATAGCATATTTGAATTGTATGAAAGGTATATAGAGCTTGTTTGTGCTTCATTTTGGCCAAGAATGCACTTAAGAATAGTAAATTTATGAAAAATATGTGTTTAAAAAATAGAAAAAAAATTGAATTTACATGTAACATTATTTTATTGAAAAATATGTGATTAAAAAGAAGAAAGTAAAAAATATAATTTAAAAATAATGGCGATCAAACAAGGGCATAATCTTTATTCATTATCATATTTATATCTTCAATTTTTTTCATTGCATTATTATTCCAAGTTAACACAATCTGCCCATGATGAGAGTTTTTTGCACAAAATTTCATTAGATAGAGTATAAATACTTATTTGTCTCACGTATTTTTAATTAAGCAAAAAATACAACTACAAAATTAAGAATAAATATTTGTTACTCGTTTTGAAGCACAAATTATTTTTTTTGGCAAAAATCACGCTTAAGAACAATGTTTAAAGTTAATGAAACGTTAAAAATAAGAACATGATGAAAAATTAAAGCATGTGACAATGAGTAAAAGATAAAAAATAAATAATAATAATGTGTGGTGTGTTCACAAAATGATGTAATTTGATCGATTGGAGGATTTACTTATCTTCTAACTTATTTCGTAATAAATAAACTTTATTGAAGTATTAATAATAAACTTGCTTATGAGTAAATTTTGAACTTAACAAATTTCTTGGAAAATACATAAATTGGATTGATGATATTGTAAGATTTCCTTTATTTAATAACAAATTTGGCGTTAATTTTTTGAGAATATATATGGTAGAAAGTGAGTTTTTGTTCAAAATTTGTGATTAAAAAGTAAAATAAAATTATGAACGGTGTTATAAAACCCTAGTTGAATGGCGAATTGATCCATGGTTCGATTCGGATGACTCATTTTATTTCATCAAGAAATTAAAGCATTACAAGCTCTCTTGTCGGGTTTTTAAAACCAGCTAGTTCAAGTTTAAGTGAATCGGGAAGGCCATTAAAATAAATGGAAATTACATACGAACATGCTGTTTAATTAAGATCAACTTCATAAAAAAAAATTTAAGCCCTTGTTTTGGCTCCATTTTAATGAGGTTTTGGGAAAAATAATTTTTTTTAAATATGTGGTTAAAAAGAAGAAAAAGATTTGGATTTAAAAGTCCGTTTGATTGTAAAAATGGAATTTGGGTGGAAAGAAAACAAATTTCAGGGAATTGAATAGCCTAAAATTTGTCTTACTAGGAATTGTCAATTAAATGTGTTTGATTAAAATAAAATTTCACCTGAAAAATATTGAAATTTTCTATCTTTTGATATTCGTTTTACTTTTTTTCATGAAAATTGTTAATTAAAGGGATAAAATTTATTACAATTGTGGATATAATTTGCTCCAATTGCCAATATAAAAAATAAAAAAAAATAAAAAAACTTGAAAACTAATTTTCACTAAAACTAAAGGAAAATCAATTCCATCAAAATGTGGAAAAGGGGTCCGTGGGGGACAATATGGAAAACTAATTTTATGAAAATTTTTGCCCATCAAACACACCATTTAGGCATTCCATAGAATTTGGAGCCTATCGAACAGGCCCTAAGTATAATATTATTTTATTGAATAAGGTGTAGTTTAAAAGAAGAAAGAAAAAAATGTATTAAAATTAAAATGGAGCTCAAACAAAAAATAAATTTCATCTTTCATGTTTCATATTATAGTTAATTATTTAATATTTATTAAATAAATACAATATTAATAATCAACCATATTTAATTATATTACTTTCTCTCTCCCTAATCTCTCGATTTCTCTCTCTAATATCTCACCCCCTATGGCTACAACCCTATAGACGCCTAATAAGTGAGTTTTTGCACACTTATTTAATACCTAAATAAGTTTACAAATTGACTACAGGAGCGAATTTCTACTCACGATTATGTAAGTATTGTTTTTGTACGTAAAAATAACCCAATGAAATAGAACAATGCAAAAGGAAGTGAAAAAGGGATCAAAGCATACAAAATTGTGAAGTTGAAGACCAAAGTGCATAAGCCAAAAAGTTGAAGGACATAGGGTTGCAATTTTTGGAAGGAATGATTGATATGAAAGTCAAAATTTGAGGATCAAGCTGTACAAAATCATAATCGAGGGAGCTAGTATGCAAATATTGGAGTACATGAGCTACAAATTGCTGAAAAAGGAGTAGCGCCTAGACACCCACTCGCTATCCCTTCTAATGATTTTGGGCGTCAAGGCACCCCTTTTCTGCTCTGATTGTGCCTCGTTTCATATTGGTTTTTTTAATTTTTTTTTAATTTCAAGGGCATGTTTTGCAATTTTAGAGGACGTTTTTAGGGTTTTAAAAGACCCATTTCATCCTACTCGAGCCTCCATTCCTCTTCTCCGTATTCTTCATTCCAACTTCTTTCCTTTATTTTTTCTCTATTTTCTCTTTCATTTTTTCTTTTTCATCTTTCTAGATATTTTAGGGGTAAAACCTAGAGCAAAGACAGAATACATCGAGGAAGGTGGAGAGATATTTGGGAGAAATTGAGACCAAGCTCAAAAAAAATGTTTTATCAATAACCTTGTATTTTCTCGATTGCTTCGTCATATTTGTAATGTATCGTTATAAAAATTTTCCTTTTTATCAATTGTCTAACATGGGCTAAATATTTGTGCTAGGACTTATCATAGTAGTTTAACTTAGCTTTGATTAATTTAATACTTGCTTTTTTATCTTAGAGTGCTTATTTTTATGTGTATCTACTATTGTATTTCGTGCATTTCATTTATTTGACAACGATGTTATGTGCAGTGCAATGGTGAGGTGATAGTCACAAATGGTGGTGGTGGTCACAAAATTATTTAGTTGATTCTGATTAATAAATTGGTTAATTTGTGACCAGAAAATAATATGGGACCAATTATTTGAGATCCTTTCAAATAAATTAGATATTTTATAACCAATAAATAATTTATGGCATAAAAAATTGAGTTGTGATTTGTAATCAATATTTTTTTTTATTCATGAACCTTTCAATTATATTGGATATGATCCATTCTCTCTGACAAGTGCAATGAAGGACTCAAGCATCATTCGCTCGTTCGACTTATGGCGTCATTGAATTATCGATGAATTAATTGTGACCTATAAAATTTTTAATTCATGATCGTGAAACAATTTGCTACCTATAAAATTTTTTATTCGCGACTGAAAAAAAAATTTGTGATCAATTAATTTAGAAATTAATGACCCAATAAGTTAAAATTGTGACCTTGATATATTTAAGAAAAATTACAATAGCGGTATCTAACCTTTCATTTTTTTGCAGACTTTACCCTAACCTTCAATTTGTATCAACAAAGGTCCCAAACCTTTGACAAACTAGCAACCATTAGTTGACCAACAAATTGGACTTTGACCAATTTGAAAGGGTAAAAGGGTAGTTTTGGTATTTAACCCTATAAAACAATTAAAATAAGTAAATGAAAATAAAAATAAAAGAAAAAAACCTATTCATCTCCCCCATGATGGTGCTAGCAATATACATGGCACTTTGGAACGGACCTCAAGCTTTATTTCTTAAAGAATGTCCATATGCTTACTACATCCATTATTTTGCCCATCGACTACAACTAACATTGGTTTTTGCAGCCCAGGACGTGGTTTGTATTTGGAAATTCTTTTCTCGTTTGGACGATGTTGTTAATATTATTACTTTTTCTCCTAAGAGCATTAACGTGTTATAAACTGCTCAAAAAATCGGGCTTGAGGATATGCTGGTTAGTGGAAAACGACAATATAGAAGTGGGGCCAATCAAATTGGTAATTTGCAAAAATCGAGCTCTACTCGTTGGAGTTCACGTTATGAATCAGTAAAGAGTTTGATAAATACATACACTGCAACTTGCAAGGTACTTAAGTATCTTACTGTTCATTCTCCGAATGGAAGATCTCGTGCTGAAGTTAATGGTGTTTATGAAACCATCACAAGCTTTGAATTTGTATTTTCCTTGCATTTAATGCATAAAATTTTGGGACCCAACGACATACTTTGTTAAGCACTTCAAAAAAAGATCTCAGGACATCTCGACTGCTGTCACATTTGTCTTCACCACAAAAGATCTCATTCTTAAATTTAGAAAAGATGGTAGGGAAGAATTTCTTGATACAGTGATAACTTTTTGCTTAAGAAATAATCTTAATATACCCAGCCTAAACTCCTTTTATAAGATTTGTCATCCTCGTGAACAAGTTACACTTGAGCATCATTACCACTTCAATGAAGCTATAGATTACCAGCTGATAGAGTTAAATATAAGATTTAATGAACTATCGGTAGAACTCCCGCATCTCACTGTTGCTTTAGCTCCTCGAAATTCTTTTGAATCATTCAACAGGGATGATATTTACAAGCTTGCAGAGAAGCTATTGTGATTTTTCGCAGCTAGAGCTTCATTCTTTGAGATTTGAGTACGAGTATGATGTGATTCGTGATCCTTGGTTTCAAGTGTCTTCACTTTTCTGAACTGTGCAAGCTTTTAGTTGCAAGTAGAAGGTCGGAGAATTTACATTATTCTCACTAGATTTATTCATCTTGTACTGACACTACTTGTATCTACAGCGACTTATTGATTGTATGACACTCTATATTGAAAGAGATTTTGCCAAGAAAATAGATGTAGATTCTATTATAGATGAGTTTTACACAGTTAAAGCTCGACAGACACAAAGTCAATTGGTAATGTAGTAATGAA